TTTGACAGCCTGGTGGCTCTACTGACTTCTTCATCCTTTGCTGAAGCTGTATATTGAAGTGGGAGAACTGAAGTCTAAGCATGTTCATCTCTGCAGCAGGAATAGCAAGAGCCTCTAGTAAAGCTGAGGCCGTTCAACCCCAAAATGTCCACCAAAGTGACAGCTCTTACTGACACAGCCCTTGCTGACCCCCCCTTTGAGCAGCAGCATCAGTGGGACACAGGCAGCCAGCTGCCCAGCTGGGTGCTCGTGCTGTGCAGGGCTGATGTGTGTTCAATCTGTGTGTGTTACTGCAGACAGACACCCTCTTGGGTTCAGCACTTTGGAGCCTATGTCTACAATGTCAAAACACAAAATTGCTGGAGAGCATCTGAATGCCCTGGGGCGACCTCCAGGCACAAAGTGGCTCAAGTGACTCTGGGGCAGCAGCCGGGGCCTGTGAGCTGTGGGTTGCTGCTTTTCTTCTCTGCTCCTCCTAAAATAAACATGCTCTCAGACTTGCATGGGGATGCAACGGGGAGGGGGGAGTTTCCCCGGGAGCTGGTTACTTCTGTGTTCCCATTGCTTGAGCATTAGCCACTTCCCAGGATTGTGGGGCTGCAGGGCTGATGCTGCTGGGCTCAGGTTGAGACAAAGCAGTGGTCAGTCTGGCCTGCAGCAATGGCTTCAGCTACCTGCCCAGTCAGCCCACAGAGAGGACATGGGGTGGTGAGGACAGCAGGGCAAGTGCAACCAAGCAACTTGATGGGGGGCTTCTTAGTGGGGCTGCATTCAGTGTCAGACATTCACCACAACAGGGATCTGCTTAATTTCCCTGATGCTCCATGCAATAACAAACAGCTCCTTGGTGCTCCCCCTTTCACACACCTTGCAAAGAAAACGGAGAGTGGTGGGGCTGCAGCCGAGGCAGGGGAGTGGGGAGCTCACAGCTCAGGCGTCTCTGCAGCTGCAACATCTGCCACACGCTGGGCTCATCCTGACCCGCTGCTCCTGCCAGGCAAAGGTGCAGAGCATGGAAACGCCCTTCTCTTCGGCCAAAGGCATACCGGGAAGAGGAAAAAGCACTCGAGAGAAGGACGGCGGAAGCAGACAGCCGGTCGCCACGCCGGCGGCACAGCTTGCCTTTCTCTGCCACATTCCCCAGGGAGCTCCACGGACCTGTTCGGCTCTTGAGCTGTGGGTTATAGGGCAGACTGATGCCTCTTCTTCAGCAGCACGTGCAGCAGGGAGGGCTCCTAACACACTGCCCAGGGCATTTCTTCCAGGGCTGCGTCCTCCTTGGGACACCGGGAGTGGAGTGGGACATTTTTGGCCTCGGCCCAGCAGGGCCAAAGCACAGAGTGCACCTCTCATGCTCACAGCATCTCCACACACCCACAGCCTGTGGGAGCAGCAGCGGCCCCTGCCAGCAAGGTTTCCTGTTCACCAGTGATCTCAGAGCACACACGCAGTGTCTGTCCTCTGAAGGAGTCTCGCTCGTACTCTCCATCACATTGACCTGCTGTTGCTCAGTGTCAGCTGTAGGGCTGAGCAAGGACAGAGCTCTGGCGTTGGTGTCGGCCAGCAAAGCGACAAACCCTTCGGCAGGTGGGAGGGGATGCACGGGCAGGAGAAGGCGGGAGGGGCGGCACCGCACTGGCGCGATGACAGGGATGAAGTCAGAGTGGCTGCAGAGCCGTGCTGGGAAGCAGGAGAGGGTGGCAGGGAAGAAGAGCGGCGCTTCCTCGCAGGCGCACAGCTCTACTCATCAGCGGCATTGTTCCCCTTTCATTTATCTTTCCAGCTGGCTGCTCTCTGCACAGAGAGCTGGCTGCTCTCTGCTGGCTGCTCTGCTCTCTCCGAGAGCTGCAGCCTTGCCAGCCTGTGAGCACAGGCGAGTGGCATCGGCCCCAGGAGCATCCTCCCGAGTCTTCCCGCTGCAGACACACATAAGCCTCGAGCAGCCCTGCTAAGGCAACCACAGGGCTCGGGGAAAGGTTGAAGTGAAGGATTCAGCAAATAAAACCCCACAAGCCCCAGAGCTCAGGCAGGATTGTGCCTGTGTGTGCCTCAACAGGGCATTTTAGCTGGCAAAGTCCCTTTGCTCCTGCCCTGTTGAGGGCTGAACATCCACTTGCCCTTGGAGGGATGGTTTCAGCCCACTAAGCCTCGACAGGAAGCACATGTTGTTGCTGTATTTACCGGCACTGCTTCCTCTGTAGCAGCCATTTGCACACTGCAGGGCTACTCAGAGCACACCCATATCCTCGCCAGCAGGCAGAAATTTCCTGTTCCTGGAAGCATTTGTGCAGAGAGGCAATTTATTTGTCGTGCATCTTCCTGGCTAAAGCAGGTTAAGGTGGCTTTTGCTCTGCTAACACTGCAGGGGAGACCTGAGGGCAGGGGAGAGGAAAAAGCTAGGACAGCATAAAACTTATTTACATCAATGGATGCAATAAGAGCATTGCACTTACTTCAGGCAGGACAAGCCAGTTCATCATCTTGCCTTTTATCAGTGGCAGGGTGTCCACTAGAGCTCTTGTTCCTGGGCTGATAGCACCAGGGAGGCAGCTGCTGTGCCCTGCAGCTGGTGTCCCCTGCTCTAGCATTAAATATTGCCTATTATCAAAGCTTCTCTGGTTCTTCCAAGTGCCATTTGCCTTATCTCAGGTGTTTTTCTGAAACCCACTTTGGAAATGCCAGTGGCAAAAAGCAAGCACCGAAGGCTGGAAAGCAACAAGTCCCCATGGAGCTTGACAGGCACTGGGTGTGTAGGTGTTATCCAGCCCTGACGCTGTCCTGCATGCTGGGGCTGTTGAGAACTGACATGAGAGGTGATGCTGGCAGGAGCTGAGGTGTCCTCAGTGCCTTTGTATAGGAGTGAGGGGTGAGAAACAGGGCCTGTGCTGTGGTGGATCAGCACAGCCTGACCCCAGGCACGGCTGCACCCGTGGCATGGTCCAGCCTGCTGGCATGGGGGACGGCTGGAAATGCTCCCCCTTCACCAGGGCAAGGCCTGTGTTCAGCAATGAAGATGACATCTTGAGGAAAGACTCACCACCATGTTAAAAGACTCCATAATGCAGCCCAGGGGTTGCTGCAGAGGAGCAGTGCTCACGCCTGCAGCTCTCCAGTACTGCTTAGTTCCAGTTTTCAGGAAAGCTTCTGAGTCTCCACAGAAAGCCGAGTTTCAGGCAGGACTACAGGCATGGCTAAGCCTGGCACTGAACACTACCATCCTGACAGCTTTTCACCTCCAGGTCCCTACTCTGCCTGCAGCCACCCTGTGAAGTGACCATCCTCTGGGATGAAAAAGGCTGCAGATGAGAGCCCTGCCAGAGCACAGTCCTCCCAGAGCCCCATGGAGCCCACCCAGGTCTCCTCTGCTTCCTCCCTCTCAGGGCAGTAACCTCCTGCTCGGGGCTGGCAGCTGCAGTTCCTGCAGATGGGTGACCCCAAAAGCGCCAGTGCCTGGCACCGAGGACCGACCCCGTATCGACGCAGGCTGGGAAAGAGGGAGGCTGAAAATAAAAAAAACTCCAGAAAAGAATGACAGGAATTATTTCAGGTCTGGAACAACCTGCCTCACAGTGAGCGAGTGAAGAAGCCAATCTGTTTAGTTTATCTAAGGGAAAGTTAAGAGGGAACTTAGACGCATCTATAAATACCTACATGTTGGGAACATTTCTGATTGCCAAGGTCCTTTATCCTAGCAAACAAAGGCAGCAAAATTTCCTGGTGCTGGGAGCTAAGGCAAGAGAAATCCAGGCTAACAGTAAAGTACAGATTTTTAATGTGAAGGATAAATAACCATCAGGCCAGCCAGGCCAGGGACAGAGCAGATTCCCCATTGCACAAAGCCTTAAAATTAAACCTAGAGATGTCTGCTGCTAAAGGAGACATTGCAACTCAGCCAAATATTTGGGGCTAGATGCAAGATCACTCCACGGCCTGGGACAATTAGGAAGAAAATCTCTTAAAATCCGAGTGTTTCCAACTGCTCAGGCTCTCACTCCTCATGGGTTTTGCCCTGTGACTCCCCTGTGGTGGTGGTTCCCACCCACTGGCAAATGGAAACAAGCAGCCAAGCTCATCTGCCAGTCATGTTCAGAAAACCACTGTCCCACCCTTCCAGAACTGGTAAAGATGTGGTGAATGTTGGAAAATGTAGAGAGAAGCAAGAGGAAAAGGAGAAATTAAACAGTAAGGGAAAAAAAATGGGGTGTTACCCATTTTATTGCAGTCCAGAATAAGAAGGAAAACATTTAAAAAAAGGACAGAAAAGAGGCAGTGCAATTTTTGTATTTAAAATACTTTGGAAGAAGACTTAGACTTAGCAAACAAACATTATTTCAGACTATGCCAAGGAAAACAACATTTTCATATAATTTTAAATCTGTGGTGAGCTCCATTCATCCTGGCCACTTCATCCCTCCCAGAAGCGCATTTTGCCCTTCACTCATCCCTAAAACTCCCCTCAAATGCGTAGCCCAAACGATGCACTCGCACCAGGAGGGAGCTGAGATTTACGATGCACATCCAAATAAATGGTGTTTCCAAGTAAACAAGACAGCAGAGAAAAGCTCCCGGTAAGCTGAGGAACGGACCTGCCATTTAAAGAGCTCAGAGAAAGAAAAAATACGGAAATCTGCAACGTGGGAGCGTGCCAGCACCGGGGGGGAGAGGGACAGGGCTGGGAGGATTTCCAGCTCCACGCAGCCTCTTTATTCCTGCGCCATACCCACCTGCCCTCCGAGCCCTGAGGGCTGACACGGGGCCGTGGTAAATAACAACGCAAGGGGATGATGTCGGGGTCGTCCAGCCCCTGGCACAGGTGACTGCTCGATCTTTTTAGTGTGAGCATCACCCGAACGGCCATGAGGAAACACTGCCAGCCCCAGGGGAGGGAAGCGCCTCCACAGCGCCATCCCTGCAGCGCTTCGAGTACACGGCCCCGGGGCTGTCCCTCAGTGCCAGCCGCTGGCAGGGTGGGATGTGGCGTGGGGCCCACGGAGGCTCACCTGGGGCAGGGTGCTGTGAGAGCTGAGCACCAGGCTGCAGACACTGGCTGGTGCCTCTGTCCTCCGTGCTGTCACCCTCACCAGCCGTGGCGGCGTCCCCGGTGTGCTGTCCCCGGTCCCCGTGGGAAGCCTCCGCTCACGGTCCCAGGAGGAATCCTGAAATGAAACAGGGGGTACCTGCGGGTAGGGCAGGCCGGCTGCCTTCAGGCCCCCTTCTGGAAGGGCCAAAAGGAGCTTTCCCCCATGCAAGGGGCTCACAGTGAGCATCCCACCGCTGGTGTCAGCCTGCCTGGCCCTGGCCCCAGGGGCAGTGGGGTCACTGCAGGCTTTCTTTCTGGCTGTCCCACTTCACATTTCAGCAACACAAGATGCCTCAAACACATTTTTTGGTGTCAAACACATTTGATGGTGTCAATGGCTTGGGCTGTGTTCAGTGCAGGAAGCCCCAAGACTGGCTGCTTTGCTCCTCCCCACTGCAGACAGGGCACGGTGAGGGGAGCAGGGGCACCCCTCACACCAGCTGTGCTGGGCCCATGGCTGCTTCCCTGCCTGTTTCCACATAATTGATTTTTAAAATTCTTTATTGATTTTCAAAATTCTTTATTGTCACATTTCCTTGGGGACTCATAGACTGGCCTGGCTGCAGGCACTGGTGGCTGTTGCCACCACAGGTCGGTGGATCAAGGCTACAGGACACCCAAAAAACCAAAGCAGGATCCCACTGCCTATGGTATAACATCACTAAAAATTCATCCATAAACACATACTAGATTTGCAGGTTTGCCTTTAACTAGAGGGACTGGCAGTGTGAGGGGGATCAAGAAAAAATGGGACTAAAATGGTTCCTGAGTCAGAGGGACACAGATATATCCTGCACTGATTTTGGGCACTTTTGTTGTCCCTATTCTTGATCCCCAAACTCCTTTCAAGTGTTCTTTCTTAGATAATATCATTCAGTTCCATCTTCCTTGTGAGACACTCAAATTTGGTGTCCCCCCAGGTGTATGATGGAAGGCCAGTTCAGTCTGTGAGGCAGAAACTGGTGTTTATCCGATAGGATTATTTCCCTGAATTTTTGCATTTCTGCAGAAACGTTCCTGCATCTCCAGATCAGGGGGATCCCACAGCATCCCTTGGCACGGTATGAGGCAGTGAGAGGGGGATGGGAAGACGGCCTGCAAAGACACGAGGCAATTTTATTTACCTTGGTGTCTCTGAGATAAGTGAGACCCTACTGCTCAATTCCTGCCTCCCCACCTGGTGCTCTATCTTTCAAAAGCCTCTAACCAGAACAGCCTTTAAAAGGCTGTTGAAAATTAAAGGGAATGCAAATAAGAGAGACAGAAGTTATCTGAGAGCTGGGAAAAAATCCTGAAAAGGGAATCTTAAAGGACTCAACCTACTTCACTTATCAAAAGCAGCCTGCGAGGTGGCTGGATCAGAGAGCTGAAATGCCTCCATGGGAGACAGTGTCAGACAGGAGCAACTAATCCAGCTGCAACAGCAGAGCAGGAACCAGAGCTGGAACTGCAGCTGTTCACGTTAGGAGTAATTCAATTAACACTTGTGAACCAGAGAAGTTGCCTCATTAATGAGACAAGCTATGACAGAAAAGGTGTGGAAACAGTCTGGATGAGAGCTGGGCAGGCTGTGGTGGCCAGCAGCCTCCTGTGCTCCTTGCCTCCCTCTCAGTGCAGGAGTGTGCAGAGTCTGACCTCGCAACATTATGAGTTTGGCTCTTACCTCAGGCAGGTTTTGGGGGTCTCTGGGGGTCACTGCAGAGCTGGGCTCGCTGGCCCCATGCTGCTGCCTGGCTGTGCCATGATGTGCATCCAGGCTCGGAGATTGCAGGGGTGCAGAGCGCAGTGTGAAATCATAGAATTCATGGATATCTGCAAAACAGCACGAGAAACATCCACAGGACCTGGGAGGCAGCCTGAGGCCAGCTCCTGTGTGTGGTGCAGCACCCATGCCCTCCCACTCTGCCTCCAGAGCATCATAGGTCTGAGCCCTCTGTGAGAGGCTGGCACCCTGGGAGAGGGCTCTGCTGGCTCCCCGCACTTGCTGCATTGCCCACCACACCCCTTCTGAAGGCAAGAGGTGTAGAGGGGTGCCTGGCTCAGAGGGCAGTGCCCCATGCCTCTGGAAGGCACAGGTATATCCAAGGAGCAATGACTGTGCAGACCACAGGGTCTAAGAGCAAACTATGCTCAGCAACATCAATCCGAAACTCACCCCATCCTGCTCGCCAGGCTGTGCCAGCCCCAGGATTGGTGCCATGACCCTTTTGCTCCAAAAACCCTCCTGCACCAGCCAGCCCCTGCCTGCCTCTCTGCCCTGACATGGACAGGCATTTCCCTCCCCATCACTGCTCCCCAGCAGTCCTGGCTTGTGGAAGGGCTCCTTTCCCAGGAGTACATGCAGAGGGCACAGGGCACCAGGAGGGCAGGCTCACAGTGTACCAGCTCTAAAGAGCTGATGACTACATCTGTGTTATCTCCAGCTCCTTCCCTGATAAATTCTGTCTTCCCTCCTGGCATGATTTACCTGTGCACTGCCACAAGCAGATGTCAGGTATCCTCATTCTGGGCTCCAAGGACCTGAGATTACTGCTGTAAACCATAGTGGCTCCAGAGGGGCTGTGGGAGCCCAGACCCCCTCCAGGAGGATTTTACCCTCTCCTGGTCACACACAGAGGATTCCAGGGAGCAGCAGGGATGCAGTGGGCTTTGCTCTTCCCTAAGGAAGCCCCCACTGCTGCACTCTCAGGCAGCCCCCAGTTCATTTCCAGGGCCAGCACCTCCATGGGAGCAACAAAAGCCAATATGTCCATTGCAGAAGTGTTTAATTTCAGGAGGGGAACTATATCAAAAGTGAGAAACTTTTATATGAAGAAACTGAAAGGGGTAACAAAAATTTGTGGGAGGCTCTGAGCCTATTCAGAGAGACTCACTGGGACATCAGAGCAGACGTGCAGTGCCTGGCTGAAGGATATTGTAAAGGCAAAAGGGAGGAAAGCAAGGTTCGACCTCAGGGGAAGGGACACTATTGAAAGTGAGAAGACATTAATCTAAACAGCTGAAGCTGCATTTAAATGAGAAAACCAGAAAGGATGGTAAATGCTGCCAGGTTAGAGGTAAAGCTCCAAAAGGTCGGCCAAAAGAGTTTGGTAAATGCCTTGCAAAAGCCATAAAAAAGTAATAAATCCCTTCAAGCACCTGGGAAACAGGAAGCCTGGCAGAGTCAGCAGGGCCAAAAAGTCACGGCAGCATAAATAAGCACTCGGAGCAGGAAAAGCCACAGCAGGAACCTGAGTTCATTTTCTGTACCTGCGTCTGCTGTGGAGGAAGCCAGAGAGCTCCTCTTCTGCGAGTGACCTGAAGGGCAAGCAGTGGGGCCCAGCTTGAGGGGGACGTGGCCATTCCCATGGCACTCCCTGGGAGCCCAAGGGTGAAGTGGCTGCACCAGCCCTTCAGTCTGTGATTTTTCACCTGCAGCTGTGCCACACCAAGGCACCACGGGGTATTAAATGCCCACGTTATACAGATTTCCAAAGGAAATCTGGTGAGCATTTGGCAGCGTGAGCAGGGACATGCTGACCACTGACTGAAGCTACTTCCCAGGTGTAGCAGGATGCTCTGCCTAAGTGTGGACATGGCAGCTCAAAATTTGCCTTACAATTTATCAGTGAAGGCCTGAACAAGGAGGGTCTGCTGTTCTGAGTGCTGAGGAATGCTGAGACCAGCTTGGTCAAACACTCAAACCCCACCAGAAGGACATGCAAGACAAGTGCTCCCTGACTGAATCTGGGAGCAGCAAAAATGTGCAGGCTCTGATATGGAAGTGAGAGTCAGGAGTGGTGAGAAGAAGAAACTAAAAGAGCTGCTCACACCTTTTCCAGCACAAAGCATGTTTTGCTGATTAAACCTCATAACACATAATCTGAAAAATGCAAATGACTGACAGTCAATCACTTTATACTATAAAAGGCCAGTCATATTTTTGCACAGTGAGGACTTCTATCATACCTAAGGTCTATGAAGCTCCTTCCCTTGAGTGGGGACACCCCTCAAGGTTACTCCTTGAGGCCGAGTGAAAGAGATTTACCCACAGGCATTGGTATGGGTGAGTAACATCAATCTCTACTTAATAACTTTTTACCTAGCTTTAATAGAATTGCTCTAATATTGCTTCAAAAGCAGTGCACTACACTAGTAGTTATAGCTATTCATACTGTGTAGTAAATAAATTCTGATTAAGCCCTTCTTTTTCTAATCATCACTAATCAACATAAATAAATAATTTAATATATTTATATAAATGTATTAGGCCACCCTTAATCCTGTGGGACAAAGTTGTATAAAGGTTCAATTACACCTGTATAATCTTTTACACATAAAACAGTGACAAAGCCTGGGGCTAAGACTGGATCCAGATGCACCCAGGCTCCTCTCTGGAGAGTTTAGAAAGCAAGGGGGTCCTTTCAGCTCCTCATGACTCAAAAGGAGGGCTTCTCCAATAAACTTTGTCTGAAGCTCCCACTCGGCCCACAACACCAGGGATGCTTTCACAAAGCAGGGCTGCACTCCCAGATGCAAGTGCCCATCCTTTCTCCCTGTGCTTAACCACATGCCCAATCACCACAGCAGCACATCCATGTTGCAGATGGGATGAGAGCACCATCAACCCCCATCTTCCACCTCCCTGGGGCTGCCTGGTCTGGTGACCTCCCAGCTGCAGGGAAGAAGCTGCTATAAATCTTGGCTGGCAGACCAGCTGGGTGCCCATGAGGAGCCCAGCCAGGCTCTGCTGTCCTGTGCCCTGGGAGACATGGGGCAGCTGGCAGTATGGGAGCAGTGGGAGTCCCCAGATCTACCCACTGCACCTGGGGTACCCCTCCACAACCCCCCTGCTGCAGAACACGCTGCTGGCAGCCCCTGAAGCCTTCCCAAATCAGACATGAGGTCACAGCAAGCGGTCACTGCACAGCCAGACAAACTGGACTTTGTTTTTGTGCTAAAACATCTCTCCCTCTGGTTATAAAAATAATAATTGCATAACAGGATAGCAGCGGCTCCTGGCTGCATGGATTGCATTTGGAACACACAAAACTCTGCAAGAATGAAAACAGGGTTTGAACAGCCCCACTGTGGGGGTGCAGCGCTGCTGGCATCCCTGTTTGTCACCCATCTGCTGCAGGAACACAGCCTGGGGCAGCCGAGCTGGCAAGGTGCCTGCAGAGCAGAAAACTTGTCCCCTGAAGCAGCCACTCTCCACCTCCAAAACCCTCAGCCCGGTTTAGGTGCTTGCCAGAAGAGGGAATTGTTGCTGGCACCAGGGATTAGAGGAGTTTCAGGATTGGTGGGCAGGGTTCAGGCAGCAAAGGATGTGGCCATGACAGAAGTGCATTTTAGAAGACATGCATGTGGCATTAAAGATAATTTAAATATATGCCAGTTTCCCTCATTTCTTATGAGCACCACAAATTGCACACAAATCTGCCTCACCTGTGCTCTTTAAGAGCAGCACTACCTGAAAAGCCTCCATAAGAGGATATTGTGGTAGCAAAAGATGATGCTGCATGTTCTGCCTTACAGCCCAGTTTCTGTGTGATGACAGTGTAAATCCATTCTGGATCTAACAAGGAGAAGTAACTCAAGATTTACAGACATTAGAATTTTTCCAGCAATTTCCTCCTGGGGTTAATTCATCAAATAAATGCCATTAAATATTTCTATAGCACCAGCATCTGAGGGCTAATGCAGCGTCCTTGTGCCAGCACATGCACTTCCAAAAAATGACATTTCTTCCCCAGTATGTGCTCTGGCACCAGCTGCATCACCACAGACTTGAAACCTCAGCCTCACACCAGACCCTCAGCCATGTCCCCACTGCCACAGGGAGGATTCACATGCATGGCTGCCACAGCAGATCTTTCAAGAAAGCTACAAGTTTCTATTCTTGCTATGGGCAAACCTAAAAGAGGAGGAGTCCTCAGCGATGGGAATCCTCCAGATTCCTCCAGTTTTCCACCCCGGCTCCTGCAGCCACCCAGGGAAGTCACAACCACCATCCCCAGGAGCACTGCTGGCAAGCTGAACTCCCAGCTGGAGTTTGCAGCCAGAGAAGCACTGCCTGCCTCTCCTGCCTTCACCACAGCTCTGGGAGGAACCTTTTCTGGGGTAAAAGGAGCTGCAGGGGAGGGTTGTGGGTCCAAGCGGCTGACAGAGCCACACTGAGGTCTGCACCAGCCCCTGCTCAGGCACAGGAGATGAGCTGAATCCCAGAGGGCTTTTGGGAGGAGCACGGCCCCTTGGGCTGCTGGCAGCTGGGATGGCCAGACGCAGACAAACCCTGCCTGTCCACCCAGCTTCTCCCGCTGCAAAGGGCACAACGGCCCCTTTCAGCCCCGGCTCTGGGAAGGAAAGGTCAGGGAGCTGCTCTTGTGTGTGAGACCCATCCTCCTCTCCAGGAGAGAAGACCGAGCGTCTCCCTGAGGGGCTCCCAGTAGCAAAGGGAAAGCAGGGCCACCGTCACCCCCGTCCAGGCTCCTCGATCGCCCTTTTGCTGGGCTGTTTCCCTGCAAGTCACGCACTTGGCTCCACAGCCTCAGACACGGGGAGAGAGGGGCCAGGAGAAGGGAGCCAGCACAGCCTGTTTTCCCTCCGAGCAGCCAAGGAATTTCTTTTGTGCGGAGCAGGGCTTGGCACATTCCAGCGCAGAGCAGCTCCCGCATCGCTGTGCCGTGCCGAGCCAGCCGCGGCACCCGCTGGGACAGGAGCAGTCCTGGCAGAGACAGTGTGCCCCAGGCATGGGCAGCTCCAGGGACAGGGAGGTGGTCACAAGGATTTAAGGGGCTGTCCTGTGCTCTGGCAGAACACGGTGCATGTGCAGAGCAACACTGGGCTCGATCACAGAAACAGACACATCCAGCACTACACAGATGCATCCTGGACACAACACAAACTTTATCTGAATATCCCAGCAGATCCACCCCTGGAGATGGACAAACTGGGATTTCTGGAGCCCCCAAAACGGATTATTCTTGAAAAAAAATTATATGGAAAGTCGTATCCCTGGCATTTTTCATATGGACCAATTTGGCAAACTCCGTGATATTTTTCACTTCTGGTAGCTCTTCCATGGCCTAATGCATTTTGATGCTCAAACTCCAGCCAGCCAATGCATGCCTTAGGAAAGCATTACCTGCAGGAACAGATGACCTGAGGACAGGGATAGACCATGCTCACACATTCATCATCCCCCAGGGTTGAAAAAAAGCAGGGCCTTGTTGCTGAAAGGCTGCAAGAGGAGGCTAAGGCCTCTCCAGAGCCAGAAGCATCTGGTATGGTGTGGGGCAGTGAGATGGGAGCCTCTGCACTGAGAGGTGTATCTGTGGCTCTTCTGCAAATTCTCCTCCCTCAGATAAACACTGAACCAGTGCTGTGACTCGGAGAAACTTCAGTCAGAGACACAGTAGCCCACTGGGAAAAGGAGGGGTGAAAAGCAAATAAAACAGAAATGTCCTATCACCCTTCCAGTGCTGCCACTGTGCTCCAGCGGGTCTGGACCGTGGACACGAGGCAAACCAGTGCGTGCCAGCTGTGTGTGGTCACAGCAAGCACGAAGCCAGACACAATGTCCATGCTGGGACAGAGGAATTCACAAACCTACTCCAAGGGAAGCAGGGGGGAGGGGGCGGAAGTAATTAATGCAAATTCCTAGTTTAGGTAAACACATCTAGAGAAAGCTCGCTCTGGCACGGGGGAATTAATATCCTGTTAAACCAGTTGAAAAGGTCACCAGCAATCAAGCGACACTCCCGACACTCCCCCGTGCCAGCGCTGACAGGGCACCAAGACAGAGGGCTGAGAGCAGGGAGCCGGGAGCTCTGTGCAGCATCCGCCTGCCAGCGTGCAGCTGCAGCCGGCTCGGCGCGTGTGCAGACGCGTTCTCTGCAGCTACACTCTCTCCACAACACTTCTGCACTAATATCAACAGCCCTGGGCCTTGGGAAAGCTGCTTCACTGCCTTCACACAGCCCCAGGGAGGGCTGGCAGAGCACACAAAAGCAGCCAGGGGTGTTGGGTTCATGTCAGGTTTGCCGAGGCGATCACAGCCTCCAGGTTGGGGTGAACCACGGGCTGGGGACCATTTAGAGAACGGGTTGTATAAATTAAGAGACAAGAAAGGAGATGCACACTGGTCCCTTCATTGTGGGGGCCCACCTGCCCTGGGAAGGCCTCCCTAGCCACGTGTCTCTGCTGGCACAGAGATTCCAGCACAAGACCTTCAAAAGGACACCCTGGGACTGAAAGCCTCGAGGTGATGCTCCAATAGCAAGAAAGAAGAAAGGAAAGAATAAAATAGCTCAAGATACACCACTCAATTTCATCTTCAGTGGAAAACCTGAAGCACAGAGGAGCTGCTGGCAACTCACATCTCTGCAGGCACAGAAGTGGGTCTCTGGCTACAGAGGTGTGAGGAAAAGGTGAGAGCTGCCAAGAGATAAGACAGGCAGGTGAGGGGGAGCACCAGGGTTGTGACAGCCTTGGGTCAAAATGCACTGAGAATGAGCCACACACCACATGTGCACCTCTGCACCCTGGGGACCAGGATTCCTTCTAAGAGTGCAGAGCCTTTGGGGTGCTTTCCCTTCCTTCCCACCAGGAAAACCAAGCTTCTCTCTCAGTAGACCCAGGAAAAGAGACCACCAGGGCTGCATGTGTTTCCCGAGGCCCACAGCGAATAGAACTTAAGGAGAGGAGCTGAGTGGGAGTTCCTGCCCCTCTCCACACACTGCAGCTTCTGCAAATGGTTCTCTGGGATTAACTCTGAAATTAGTGCTCTAAGTCAACCGTCACAGCCAGGATTTGGTCTGATTTAGCAGGGAATGGAGTCAAGCAGCTTCAGAGTCCAAACCCATTCAATTTTGTTTTTCTTAAAAAAACACTTTGCAAAGAAAGGGCATTTTCAAATGCCCTTATCAGCAAGATAGCCCTGTGTCTTGCACAGAGAAGCTGCAAAGTCCAGCAAGACTCTAGCTGTACTTGTCTAAATCCACATGGATAACTTTATACAGTGCTAAAAATGACATTTTCTGGTGTCCAGCCCCAAGATGAGCCTTGCTGTTAAATCTATTTCTTGTGTGAAATGGAGCCGCTGGAACAGTGTGTTACTCACAAGTGCTTGTGGGTCTAAGAGCAAAAAAGGCCAGAATAACCCAAAGGAGCTTGGATACATGTGGATTCTCTCTTAAAGATAGAAAAAGTTAATTTCCCTTCAATTTGGCAGCAGGAGGGGAAAGCAGCAGGTTGTGACGAGGCTGGGGTGGGGTGTCCTTGTACGGCAGCAGAACTGGAAACCCAGCGGTGGCTGCACTGCACAGAGGGTGCTCACAGCATGGCAGGATCCTTTAGCAGGTGCTGGATAGATCTGGGATGACCAGATGAAGAAGGCTTTACCCTTTGTCTTTAATCACCCAACTGAGGAATCGCATCACAAACACCCAGCGATCGCAGCCCTGACCCCTGGTATCTCCTGCCCAAGTCCTGGAGGGAAAAGACAGCCCAGCTCCCTGGAATTATGTGCCATGTGTTTGCACAGGATGTGCCCTGTCTGGTCAGTGCCAGGCACCCGTGCAGGATCAGGCCCCTGGGAGGCCCCGCTAACCACAAAGCCACAGGGACTGCGAGGCAGGAGCTTACCCAGCAGAGCCTGGAAGAGTTCACTTTGGAAGATGTGCGAGACTTTTCCAATGGAGGCTTTTAGCTCCTGCTCCTCCGGGGACCGCAGGGTGCTTTGGTATCTGGTCAGAATTTCCACTGCCCGTTCAGTGTCTGCAGAGATGACACAGGAATAACAAGGCATTAACACTGAAGAATGTGAAAGGAAGGCTCAAGTGCAGGCTTGAATAATGCCTCCAGTTGCCTTCCAGCTTGGACTTTTAAGAATCAGACAGCCACAAAAGCGGTCTCCTCACTCACACCTGGATGAGCTAACCCTGCTGAGAGGCGCAGAGGGCCCATAGTGGAGAACTGGGCAGGGGCTGCAGGGGAGGTGGTTCTGCCAAAAACCCTGAAAATCAGTGGCTAAAATCAGATTAGTTCACCTCTGAACCCTGTGGCACTGGGCAGCCTGAACACCTCTGCCACCTCCCAGGCAGAGAAGCCATTCAGGAGCTGGACACATCCTGGTTGCACAGGGCTATGAATACTACTGCAGGAGCTGCAGTCTCCCACATGGGTCCAGATGGCTGCAGCGACGCTGAGTGTAAGCCCATTCACATAGTGCAAACAGCTCAGCTCCATGAGTGGCAAAACTTGGGTTTCTACAGGGTGAAGCGTAAGAATTGCTCAACGCAGCAAGCAGCTGTGGGTCAGCAGGAGACAAGTGGGAAAGGAACATGATGCGTTGGGGTCAAAGGAGATGCTGGCCAGGAGGGGAGTTGGAGACTGCCCCAAAGCAATGCTTTGGTTAAAGACTGGGCTCACATAGCTATATGAAAGCCCTGGACCTGAAATAGTGGAGCTGTGATCTCTGTGTTTGGACACCTCCATGCTTCTCTGGGCAGACAGCCAGAGCTGCCAGTGCAGCCCAAACCTCAGATGTGACCCACATCTCAGGCAGGTGGGAAGCTCCTGTGGACCTTGAGACTGTCCCAGCCCTATCAGTGGATATTTCCCTTTGTCACCCAGGCAGCCTGCAGACAAAGAGCGTCTGTGTGAGGAGGCAGAGAAGCTGTCCCGCCACTGCTGGAGACTCATCTTTTAAGCCAGGAACTCATGCAGAAAGGATGACCCTGCTCATCACAGGGCTCTTGGCAGAGAATTCAGGTCATCAGACAAGGGGGCCTGTGTCTGCTAGGGTGTGTGCCACCTGGTATCCCAGCTCATCCAGACTCCCAGCTCCTCCTCGGCCGAAAGGGAAAGGGGGTCCTCCTGCCTGTGTCCCCAGCCCACAGTGACTCATCGTGGGAGCAGAACAAGGAAAGGAGTCTGGGGAAGCGTGAATAGCTCCGACTCAGAGCTGGGCTCCATGAAAAGCAGGGACTTCCCTGAGCTTTATGGGGACCCTAGCCCTGTGCTATCACTAAAAGCTTCCTTTTCTGCAAGATAAGACTGCTTCAAACACTGCCCAGCATCCCATGAGCAGGACTGAGACATCTTTGCCTGGTCATTCCTGACCTTATTTGCAAAAGCTAAAGAAACAGATGAAGAACTGGGGCCATCACACCAGGACACAAAGACTGCAAACCTGGTGTGAACTTCCCACCCCAGTCCAGGCTGTGCAGAAAGAGCAGCATGCACCCTGCGCTGACTTCTGTGCTGTTGGCCACTGGCACTGGGTGACAGCCGGCTGGAGCAGGGGAGCACTGGCTCTGGGGAAGTGCTTGTGCACCTGGCATGGGGGTGAGACTGGAGGACCCTTCTTACAGCACCCAAGAAAGAGCACGTGTTGTCCAGGGCCCATCTCACCATGCCTCAAGGTGCATCCAAGTCCCACTTACAGAAGACCCCCTCCTCGCAGGACTCACACCCCCACGCCCGCCCTCCTCCCCACAGCACCCAAGGGCTGTGCGAGCACAGCATCCCACGGCCACCCGCTCCGAGCCACGAGGACACGTCCACAGCCCGAGGAGGGCGTGAAGCGAGGGCGCCCCGTCCTCGGCTCTTAACCCCTGGCTTGCACGGCCGCCCGCAGCGGGGAGCGAGGGCGGGAGCTGCCGGCAGGGGCGCGGAGCGCCGGGCGCGGTCCCAGCGCCGGCACCCGGCGGGGCGGACAACTTGTTGAGCGCGGGGGCGGCGTGCCCGGCACGGCGGGCAGGGCAGGGCAGGGCGGTCCGTGCCCTCCTTACCTTCCCGGCGGATCATCGGCTCCGCCGTGGCCGACGGCCGCTCCGCTCGTGCAGCCCGAGAGCGGCCGAGCCGGCCCGCCCCCCCGCCCCGCCCCGCCCGCAGGGACCGGTGCCGGGAGCCGCCCCCCGCCCCCGCCGGCACCGCCCCTGGGAGCGCCCGGCTGCGGGAGCGCCCCGCGCCCGCCGCTCTGCCCCGCTCGGAGCCCGCCCGGCTCGGCCTCCCGTCCCTGCCCGCCGCGGAGGGCCCGGCCCGCCGGCCCCGTCCCGGTGCGTGTCACTAGGTGGCACGGAGGCGCCGCGGAACGCGCCCGCCCCGGGCCGGCACCGTCCGGTGGCGCCTGCCCCTGCCCCGCGCCGGCAGCGCCTCCCGCAGCCGCGACCCGCGGGGAAAGGGAGGATGCAGCCGTGCCCACCGCAGCCCTGCGGGGTCTGTCTGCCGCTCCTCTGCTTTATTGACATAAATAGGTAGCAACAAGTAAAACTGACATGAAAAATTGACATGATACCCCATCCCCCCCCTCCGTCCCCTTTCCATGTTCAAGGCCCTGCGGCAACGTGTCTGATGCCGAGTCCCATCGCTCCCTCCGCAGCCTTGGAGCGGCAGCAGCAGTGTGACTGTAATCCCGCCAGCCCCAGACACCCCCCACGCCTAGCCCTGCTCCTTTTCCCCCCAGAACAACAGGCATTAACTGCTGCATGGAGTGCCAGGACCCTGGCCCTGAAGCATGAAGCCAGCAGCAGCAGGGGCAGGATTTGTGTCCAGCACAGGGGTGCGAAGAGCTCAGCTCCCCCTTCATCTTGTGAAAAGCCACCCCACACCCCACTTTCTACTCCTCAAGCCAGACGAACAACACATAAACCAGGTGTCCTTCAGTGGCTGCAGAGCCACTGCAGTGACGACAGGTAGAGACTGCCCTTCCCCTGCACCAAACAGTGACCCAAAACCCCACTAGTGTCCAAACCGCAAGGCAGAGGTCTCAGCTCCAACTCTGCTGGATAAGTATTCCACCCTAGGCAATCCCTGCAAAGCTTTAGTTCCTCGCTGCCAGTGGGAAACCGGAACCCAGTTCCAAGTCTTTTCAGCTGAGGGCAGCTGTGCACCATGAAAAGAGCCAGGAAGGCTACGGGAGAAGGAAGGCTCAGGAAGGAGCCAGCGAAGGAAAGGAGCCTTGAAGCTGGCCTGAGGAGCACTCCCCGCTTGAGCTGTGCAGGGCTGTAGCGGCCCCTCCCCACGGCTGACGCAGGCAAGAAGGGTCACTCTTGCATCAAGCTGTTGATCTTTGTGAGCAGCACATCCGTCTCAGACTCTGAGGAGAGAGAGAGAAAAAATAGTATTCGTGGGCAGCCAGCATCCCCTAGCAACAGGCGGAGTGGCCTGAAAAGCAGGTTTGAGGAGACTTGGGGAATGTGGGATTCCCCGGTGTTGTCCCACAGGGTTGTTTGTTAAGGGCAAGTCAGGAACTCCCTGGGCTGGGATTCCCTTCCCTCCCCCAGCCATCCCAAACCACTCTGTCACGTTTGGCTGGAGAAAGCAGCCTGGCTCTGAGGGAGGGGAGCTCTCATCCCGTGCGCACTCACCCGCTGGCCGCCTTCTGTGGGAGCATTTCCTAGGAGATGGAATAGGATTGATGTTAGCATGCAAGTCTGGCCTCCCGCTTCCCTCCCCTAAGCTGCCAGCTGGAGGCTGTGGGGCCCCACAGTTCCTCAAGGGATCTGCTCTCAGTGTATGCAGCACTGGTAAAAAGGACCAGGGTCCCCTAGCCCCAGCCCACCAAACCCTGGGGTACAGAGTGAGTTGGGGAGTGTGAACTAAGGCATTCAGCAGCTTGATGCAGAGTCAGGACAGATTTTTAGCTGCAGCCTGAGTATAAAAGCTGCCTCCACACGCTGTGCTGTTTTAGCCGGACTGGAGGGGACCACAATCTGAGTCCAGAGAGGGGTGGCAGCAGATACGACCAGGTTTGGATATGTACCAACCACCCAGGCCACACTGTGTCGTCCCCCAACAGACCTGCCTCGGGAGGGGGAAAGAGATCAAACCTACTTCAGCAAGAGGAAGGCCCAGAGGATGGTAAGGAAGGAAACGCAGTCTACAACGATCCAGATCATGAGATATGTGCTGCTGGGCTGCAAGGCAACAAGAGAACCCAGTGACCACCAGCTAGGGGCAGTGTACTGGTGGCAGCCAGCCTGCTGTGCCACCAGTCCCTTCTACAGTGTCACCTGCTCCCATGCCAGTACAGCACTGAGCAGAAGACACCCTCCAGGAAGCTGGCTGCACAGGGCTGCTGCAGAAAGGGACCCACAAGTGCCTGGGACACAGGGCTGTGGGGCAGAGTGAAGGATGGGGGGGTTACTTACAAGCAGCCAGATGGGGTGTTTCATTTCCTTCAGCACCTGGCAGGCATTGGTGGTGACAGAGCTCACCCCAGAGCACCAGAGCACCGAGAAGAGCCAGGGCTGGTTCACCACATACAAGTTGACAGAGATGTTGTCCTGGCGGTACTGCCTGCATGGGGACAGCCGTGGTCAGAGGAGCAGACAGCAGGGTGCCATCACACTCCATGTACAGCCAGAGAGGACTGCACATCTGGGATATGATCCAGCATTTTCAGCCACGTGGAGTGACTGTCTGGAGATCCAGACCCAGGGCAGATTTGCTGGCAAGGCAGAGGACTGCAGCCAGCTCCATCCCCTGCACCAGCCCAGCCTCATCCACAAAGCATTCACCCAGCCCTTCCCAGCAGCACACCAGCACTCAGCCTCAGCTGGCGACAGAGCTGGGACAGTGCCCAGACCCCCACAGCTCCCAGGCACTTGGGCAAAGGGTTCTCACCTGATCTCCTCAGAGCTCATGTCCTGGTAAGGCAGGTTGACATGCAGTAGTGGCTCCTTCTCATTCTGGAGTCTCTTCCGGCCATAGACTTGCTGAACACCTGGGGCTTGCTGTTTGACCTGTTCCCTGAACCCGTCTGGAAGCCAGAGGACCTAGGCAAGAGCCAGAGGGCACATGCAGAGGAGAGGTGCTCCAGGGAGTTTGCTCTCTTCCAATATTTCCTTCCAGGGTCAGGCACACATGGCCTGCTTAGACAGCTGCTCCCTGACCCCAACTCCATGCTCAGCTCCTCCCTGAGGATCTCAGCCAGGACAGCCTCCTATGAGCTTGTCCCAGCCAAGAAGTAAGCACAACAGACCCCACTGAGGTGAGAAAGCAGTTCCAGCCTAAGAAAGCTGCAGCAATTATGTTCTTTCTGGGTCCTTGAAGGGATCAAGCAGTGCATCCCTTTTGGCCCCAACACTGCATCAAGAATGCACCTTGGATCAGCACTATAGTAGAAGCCTTTGCTATGTCCCCTCCTGCCCTACATACCCAAAAAGCCAAGGAAGGGAGGCAATTTGAGTGCTAATTCATCCCCTAAGGGCAGCATATATTCTGTGCTGCAGAGGTTGGATGAAACATAAAGAGAACACAGGAGGTTGCAGCAGAAGTCCAAGAGCTGCAGGGAGAGGTGTGGTGCACTGGGGGGAGGTGGAAACCTCAGCATTGTACTCCTGCTCATGCTGGCAGTGATGGTCCCCTCCCTAGATTGAGTCATTGTTTACACGCCAAGGTGGCCAGTGCTGAGAAACAAAAGTATTTGGAGGGGTCTGAAGCTATAGGCATTAAACCCTAATTACTGGCAACTTCTCCCAGCTAGAGGACCCCACATCTGGACAGGGTTGCCCAGCAGGTATCATCTATGGGGATGTGGTGTATGGGGTGTCAGGGATGCTCAGTGAGGCTGGCAGGGCACCTCCCACCACGGCAGGGGTGTGACAGCAGGGCCTGGCAGCGGTGGGGTGGTGACCAACTCACCTGCTGCAGCGGGATGCCTGACTGTAAGATCACTGCCAGGGTGGCATTGACAAAGCTCTGGTAGTCACTGTGGTTCTCAGGCCGGAGGTCGAACATGATGGAGATGTTGCTCTGCTTGGCTGCCTCGAGGGCCTGTCCCAGGGAGGGGATCCTCTGCTGAGTTGCCTGGTGGCGATCACCAGCAGAAAGACTCTGCACGGTGGGAAACGGCCTCCGCTGCAAGGGTGAGAGAGGGTTAGTCAGCATAGGCAGGGCCCCTGTAAGCTTCCACCTCCCAGACTGGTGCCCATCTATGGCTCTCAGTTTCCTACAATGGCCTCTCCACAGTGCAGGCAGGCACAGGGATCCTTCCTATACACACCCATGTGGTACCTCTACCCTTCTCCCCTCTAACAGCACAGTTCAAGCAGCCCCAGCACCTGTGGGCATTCAAAGCAGCTCAGCAGTAGTTAGTCACCTTTTGGGAAGAGCCTTGCCACAGCTACCTTCAAGCCCAGGCAGGCTGTGCAGCTCAGAGCAAACACAAGACATCTCCCCTCAAACCAGCCTCCTCTGTGACTCAGTTCAGGAGTCAGAACAAACCCCAGCTTGGGGCATAACCGCACCCAAGGGATTTGTGCAGGCTTCTGCACCCTGTCCAGGTGTCTGCCAGGACCAGTGCTCCAGAGGGAAGGTTCTGGAGCCCCAGGGTAGGGCTAATGCTTTGCCCACAAATGCACCCATCCCTGACCAGCCACCCTTAGGGCATCCTGACCTCCAGAAACCAGCTGCCAGCATCCAACTGCTGGAGGTCCGTCCAGTTGAAGGCAGTGCTGTTCAGGGCAGCCCTCTCAGGGAACACAGCCTGCACATTGGTGGTCCTGGTGAGTTCCTCATCATGCATGAGGAATGGGACCCCATCAGCACTGGCAAAGGAGCAGAGAGGGAAGCTGTTTTTTTTATTGTAAGCTGTTTGTCTCCTATCCCTGCCCGTGCATTTCTGCCCCATCCCAGCCACCTGCTAGGGTAGCCCCCAGCATTATTCTTGTCCTTTACACAAAAATATGAGTGCCCAGAAGGTACAGAGCACCTAGAGACCAAGCCAGGAACCAAGTAGTTCCCTGCTCTCTGCAACAGCTGTCTCCATAGCAGGATTACATGAGATGAACTAGAGCCAGGCTCTGTTTTCCAAGCAGTACTCCTCGTGTGATGGAGCCTCCCTCCCTGGAAGGCAATCTGTCTGCATCAGGAGGACAGAAACCCAGTACCTCTCCCAGATCATTGGGACACCAAGTTGGAGCCAGTCCCATACTGGGGGAGTGGGAGTGGCAGAACCCTTTGAACAGGGCTCCCTCCAAATGCAGGCTGTAACAGTCCTCCAGGTGTGTACCAGAATGTCTCATGTGGGCATATCTATCCCAGGATACACAGACCCCTTCTTCCCTCTGAGCCCCTTTACCTCACCATGACGTCTGTCTCAAAGACTTGCACATCACAGTCCACTGCCTTGTGCAGTGACATGAGGGTGTTCTCGGGGGCCAGCTGGAAAGAGGAACAGTGTTAATGCAGAGGGCATGGGCAGGACGGGGCAGGAGGCAGGCACTCACCCTGCCTGGCTGCATCCAGCAATTTGGCTGGGCTCTAGGGCAACCACAATGAGACTGGGGTGATCCTGGCACAGTGGGGGATGGAAAAGGAGTGGGGACAGACAGCTAGAGCCTGCCTTGTCTCTGCTTCCCAGTCCACACTACACAGTCAGGCTTTCTGCTGCGAGTTGCATCTCCTGCTCCAGTAGTGCTCAGGAAGCAACCCCCCTCCTCACCCTGAGCTCACCCATCCTCCAAGCCTGAGCTGCCCTGGCTGCTGTGGGGACCCTGCTCTGCTGGGCTGGCCAGAGCTCATCCAGGCCTGTGACAGCAAGGATCTGGTGCCCCATGGCCAGGCTTTCACTGTCCCATCCACCCTGTCCCATCCACCCTGACCACTGCCGGGTGCTGGTGGTGCTGGTCACTCACCATGGGTGCTCCTCGATGGCCAACCAGGGCTGGCTTGGGGGGCAGCTGGTTCTCCTCCATGAGACAAGGGGAGGTGATTCCCAGAGGAGCCAGATACAGTGCAATCATCACTGCGCAGTACACAAGCAGCAGAAACACCTTGAGACCTGCAGGCAGAGGCAGAAGGTAGAGAGAAGGGTGAGGTACAGAGGAAGTATTTTGCAGGCCGTTAGGAATAATCCAAGGCTGCTTCACCTGGCATTAACCTGAGGTTGCCCTAGGTGCAGCACTGTATCCCCAGCCTCAGGGATAAACTGCAGGTTTATTCTTGGCCCACTACATGTCCTTTTATCCCAACCCAGCACTGCTGGGTCTGCCACCTGCAGCCCTCCTCCAGCTGCCAAGCAGTGAGGGCTGAAGCTGCACCAAGGGCTGGGCATGAGAAGAAGCGACCAACAACAGCTATTACTACCAGACTGAGAACTGGAGGCCTGATCCCACTGCACCGAACCTCTGTGAGCACCACTCTGCCAACAGTGCTGCTCAGTTGGGTGTTAGGAAGCAGGGCACCAGCTGAGGGGGAATGTGCAGACCCTGGAGGGGGTTACCTGTGTTGCGGGTGCGGTACACAAAGCTGGCCAGGGGCCAGGCAAGGAGCGTCATTCCCCCCACGACTCCAATGTGCAGGAAGGGACCCGTTGCCTGGGGAGACAAAGGGAGAGTGTCAGCCAGGACCAGACCAGCCCCTGTCCCCAAAATACACATGCTCCAAGGCCAGGGATCTGCCACTGCAGCCAGTACTGCTGGAAGTGCCAGGGATGGAAGGACAGGCTCCTGGATGGACTGCATAGACCCCCTGCTCTGGTCCAGCCACCATTCATCATCCTGGTGGCAGCTGCTCTAGGCAGGACTGCAAGACCAGGAGGAGCACCTTGCCTGGCCAGGCAGTAGAACTCAAGGGCAGAAAGTTAACCCCCATGGCACAGAGCCACGCTGGGGTGTTCAGTAACCACCCTTCAGCTCGTCCCCTAAGGCCAGGCACTTGGTACAGTGGGGGAGTCTCTGGTATCGAGGTGACTCACCTGCAGGGAGATACGTGCACTTCTCCACTCCTCTGCCCACTTTATTCCCAGCCCTGTGAAGGCTGCAGCCACCACCAGGGCAGTTAGGATCAGCAGGATCTGTGGGGCAGTGCACAGGGCAGTTAGGAGAGCACAAGCATCCTGCAGGGCAGGCAGAGCCCTCCTCATCCCTTCTTCATGAGCCCCAAGTCCTGAGACCTCACTTCCCCCATCTGGGTTTGCAACTGAGCTCTGTACTCCATGCTTTGAGCAGTGGGAATATTCCCATCCCAGAGACATGTGGCTGAGGAACTAACAGCTGCAGCCCAGCTCAGCGGGGACATACAGCCACTCAGTGGGGTCACAGCAGCCATACCACAGCCTCAGCAGGCTGGTCACAGCTTCTGAAGGTGCAAGGGCAGTCAGGGTAGGCACATCTCCCTGCTCCCTCAGTCTCTCACCTTGTGCAGCCAGTGTAGCTTCAAGGGCTGGCCGCAGAGCTGCAAGCACAAAGCAAGGACCTGCGAGAACAAGAGCTGTCAGATCTGGGCTGTACCCCACACCTCAGCCCTCTAAGGGCACAGGACTCAGCCTGGCTGTGCTCAGGCTGACCCAGCTCCAGATGCTGTGGGCTCCTCTGGGCCCCACACAGGGCACGGCATCCAGCCTGTGCTCAGCACACATCCACACCCCCACCAGTGCAGGTGAGACCAGCAGGGCTCACCAGCAGCACAGACGAGTAGGTGATCAGCACAGCCGTAGCTATGAGCAGGACCAGGGACCAGTCGAGCCACAACTTCCTCTGCTTGAAGATGAACCTGCCAGGAAAGGGGACGGTCAGAGCGGCAGGGGTGACATGGGGAACAAGGCTGGATGTGGGGTCCTACTCACTCGTTGAAGTTGTGGAAATCATTGAGGATGATGATAGCGAAGTAGAGCCACACCAGTGTGAAGAGGAAGACGCAGAAGAGGAAAAGGAACCAGCTGCAGTCACACTGAAAGATGGAGATGACAGCTATGCACACACCTGCAGGGCACCTGGCCCTGGTCAGGCTGCTGAGACCCCTGGGGAGCACCCAGCCAGCAGCAGGGAGCACAGGGGGTCACAGCAGGCACTGGCCCAGGGAGCCAGGCACTGAGCTGCCCCATGGAGAGGGACCACAGTTACCCAGGAGAGCTCTCTTGGCTGGACCCATGCTAAAGGAATATGGACCAGCATCTCCTACAACAAGCTAAAAAGCTGCCTATGCCATGCTGAGGAGGATGGCTCCTGCAGCAAGACTGCCTCCTTTCCCATGCAGCATTCCCTGAGAGCAGGCTGGGACTTTGGATATGGGAAGGGGCAGGGATTCCCTTCTAGCTGAGTGATCTGTGGGGTGGGCAGGGAGGGGTGCAGTGCCTTAGAGCTGCCATTGCAGTGGGGAACTTGCAGACTGCTCCTGCCAGCCCAACTGAAGCCAGATCCAGCTACGTGGTCTCCAGCCCCTAGCCCCACATGTGCAGGGAAGTGAGGGGTACCACAGGTGCTGAGAGGGACACCTAACAGCCCAGACTTGTTTGTACATTCCAGGCAAGACAGGACAAGCAGCAGCACAGCCACTCCCATGGGAGTCACAGACCTCAGAGAATCCCAGGGCCTCACCACTCCCAGGTTACAAATTGGCGAGGACACCCTCCTGGTGAGGGCCACACCCAGCCCAGGAACTGTGTCTCCCACGTGCCTGGCCAGGTGCCCCAGGACCTGCTGCCATGCTCAGCCCTAGGGCTCTGCTCTGCTCCAGGCACGTGTGAGCCCTGCCACAGGTGCACACTCGTGCTGCTCCGCCCTTCTTGTCACCCAGTGGGAACAGACAGCTCACCCTCTTGCCTTCTCACTGCTCCAGGCTAGGGCAGTCCCTGGACAGAGAGGGTGCTAGGCAGCACCCCAGCTCTCTCAGGCTCAGCCCTGGGAAGTAGGAGCAGTGGCAGGAGGTCAGCAGGTCAGTGTCTGGGCTGAGCATCCCAACCAGAGCTCTTGCACACCCCGGCCACTGCTCTGAGCCTCCCACATAGGGGCTGGCTAATCCCAGCTCAGCATCACCTTGGTGGTTCTCAGGCCCTTCCTCTTCTCCTTCTTGGCAGTGATGCACTGGCAGCTGTAGGGGCAGAGCAGGCAGGTGGCACAGGCAGCACAGCAGGCAGGGGGGTCTGCCATAGCATCAGACTGTCCCACAGCAGAGGTCAGGTGTCCTGTGGGGGATACACACAAGGTGTTGGCACTGACCTCCCAACACACACCCCCATGAGGATGGGGCACTGAAGCCTTCTGGGTCCAGGTACCCTGGCAAGTGGTCCAGAGCCCTGGGACATAGTGGGACTGCTGGTTGTGTTCCCAGGCATGGCATGGTGCCATGGAAAGAAGAAGCACAGGGTGCAGCCCAACCAGTTCAGCAGGCTGCTCTGGGACCCTTCACTCAACAAGTTGAAGCAAGCCTGGAGCTGGCAGGGAGCAGAGCCTGCTCCCCAGCCCAGGGTTCAGAACTCCTCCTGGGAGCCAGGATCACTGTGCAGGCTCCAGGGGCAGGCAGCCTTGCCAGCTGGACAGAACTTTGCACCCAGGCCCCCCAGATGCAAGGACTGCACATGGGCCGCACACAGCCTGGGGCTTCTGCTGTGCAGCTGGGGGTACGTGCAACAGCCTGGAAGTTCCTGTTCTGCTCCTTAAGCCCAGGTCCTTGCTGATGCAGCACCCTCCTGGCAGCCCTCTAGCTCAGCTCGCACAGCAAGGAGACCCCAGTGGGACTGAAGAGCTGCAGCTGAGCAGGCACCAGTTGGTTGTTGGTCCAAGCACTATGGGGGATGATGTGGGTGAGCATCAGTTATGGGGGGAACTCATTTCTACAGTCACAGAGACCCAGAATGAGTGTGGGGCCACTACTGAGTCCTCCAAGCACTGGGAAGGGGAGAGGGCCAGGATGCTTTGCTGTGATCCCCCGATCCTGGTGCCTAGCCCCAAACGAGGTCTCCCTGTATCCACCCTGAGAAACCCCATGTCTACTATTGCTTGCCCTGCTGTGGAGCTGCTCCTCCTCCTCATCTCAACCTCCCCAACAGGCCAGGCACCCTACACAACACTATCACCCTGTGGATTAAACCAGACTCTCATTTCACTGTGACTACTGAGCCAGGCATGACAGCCAGCTGACCACATCCTCCCAAGCCACATCCTCTCCATGTGGGGGTAATGCTGTGCCTAGTACAGCCATGTCCCATTCCAGTCTGGGCTGTGGAGAGAGGGAGCAGAGCTAGCCCAGGTCCTCCCAGGCCCAGCCAGCCAGACCAGAGTGGCTCTGCCATGCCCTGGTCTCTCCCCAGACTGTCACCTTGCTCCCAAATACCACCACTACGTGCATCTCCAGGGCTGGGGCGCAGAGTCTTCCTCAGGACCACCCAGACCAGTGGCTGCTGGGGCACACACAGGCAGGTACCAACCTGAAAGCAGGATCCCCAACCTGCCCAGTCAGCTTCTGCAGGCGGGGGGAGGTCGGGGGGCTGCCATTAGCAGATCCAGCCAGTCAAAGCACAGAGGATGCGGAGCAGCACAGCAGTGCCCCACATCTGCTGCCCCTCTACCTTCTAGGGACCAGATCAGCAGCTGTGACCTGCTCAGTGATGGCACTGAAGGAGCCAACCTTAACACAACTGCAGGAAGCCTTGAGACCAGATATTCCCCTTCTTGATGCCCAGGGGCTCTGGCTGAAGGCTCATACCCCTGCTGTCACCAGAAGCAGAGCCCCCACTTCCATCAGGGAGCAGTGGGCTCAGCCAGCCTCTGCTGGGACTCACCCTGTCCCCTGTCACGGGTCACACAGGCAAAGTACCAGTGCCAGCAGCTGCTGCCTGGCTCCCACGCAGGGTACAAAGTACAGTAGGAGTGGTTGTGAGCACCAGCTGTATTTCAGTGCTCAGCTGCTCCAAGGGGACTGTCACTGCCAGGGCTGGAGCCTGGTAGAGCAGTGGCACAGGACTGGCCACAAATCCACCCCAATGGTGCTGTTTGGAGGGAAAATGCCACCCTGTTCCACAGCTCAAAGTGGGACTGCAGCACTGGCATCAGTAGTTATGCTGTGATACCCCCGTACAGAGCACAGGTCCCAGACAGAGCTGGGCTAGGCACTCAGCAGACCCTGCTCAGCTTCTGCTCCAGCTCCTACGGGAGAGCAGCAGATTGGGAGCTAGGGTCCAGTGCTGGAAGGATCTCTCCTTTAGCTCCCACCAAACAACACCCAGAGCACACCCACAGCCTGTGAGAAGCACAGGGGATTTGAAGGGGTGACAAACTCATTGCTACAGTCAGCGACATGGCAGCATGTGCCTGCAGCCCTGCAAGGACCTCAGTGCCCCAGGGATGCTGACACAGGACAACCAGGTGGCCATGTGCAGGGCAAGATCCCCTTGCCCTGGTGCAGCC